TTTGTCAGACTCTTTGAGACACAGAATCTTTAAAAGTTCTCTCCTAACAACTATTTTAACTAATTCGGCGTCTAGGACCTATCTGCAGTTACCATCAACTTCCGCTTCTTGACTACTTTTACCATATCGACTTCGATAGCATATTCTCACATGGTTATTCAAAGCAAACAGAAAATGACATGCAATTCAGCAACTAGCCACTTACCCTTTCAAGACGTTGTAAAAGAGCTGTTTTAAATTGTCGAACACCACGTCCGCTCGAAGTGGGGTCCAGCCTATGCGCCTTTTCAAAAGCATAAAATCTACCTACATAATTTGAACCTTGGAAGATGAAAAAATCCTGACACATAATAAGTTATGACAATTGGCTAAAAAAGGGTTAAGAAAAGCAAAGAATTCATTCTAACAGACATCATGCAATGATATCCATTGCAAAAACACATAATACAATACTTCGTGCAGTCTTTTACCAAAATGCACACTTATGGAGAATTGATTGTTCCTTTTCTTTCCTTTTTTCATGCAGCACGAAAATAAACACAGTTGAACAATCGAAACTGCACAACATTATCCACTAATCAACAATCCTCATTTCCATACCACCAGTTTCAATCCAAACTTAATAAAAAATAAAGAAAAGATATGAAACTAAGGTTTGCTTCTCACACAAGATACAGAAAATTCAAACATTCATCTACACACTTATTTATGTACACATTAACAATTATGTAAGTGCATTTAAAGCTCACAGAGGTAGGCGACTCGGGGGTTGCTAGGCTCCACTTCATTGGCAACACGAAGAATGGGCGCAATTTCCACCAAGGATGAGGGCACTACTTCACTATCAAAAATGGACTCTCCTAGACTCCCCACTGTTGGGGTGCGCGTAATCCTCCGCTGCGCAGGTGTACTCTGCTGCGATGGCCCTCCTCTCGAAGAAGACATTCTTACTTCCCGTCAGACACTATATAGACGAACCGATACCTTTTTAGAGAAAAACGGGAAAACACTTGAGAAATGGTGAGTCTTGTTAATTACTGAAAGTTTACCATTTTAAACAATCGAAAAAAGTAACTAATTTACAAAATCGAGTAATAAAGAGGATCCAATAAAAATGGAGCATAATACAATGCAGCGACATTTGATAATTATTTCGAATATGATAAGATTTTTCGACTTTTTTCCTTAAACACATGGCTATAAGAATCTAGAGAAACCACGTCACATCTTTCAAGATATGCAAAAAATGAAAAGCGAATTGGGGATCAACACCATACCAGTGGACAAATTTTTTGCGAGATAATTACAGGTACATCTGAAATTTTTTATTTCAAGGAGCGTTGTCGAAATAATCTATCAGTTACACTTACACAAGAAACAAAGATTAGGTGCTAATAAAAAAAGGAGAGAGAACGTACAGATACAGAAAGCATACACCACAAAGAAAGAAAAAAGCACAAAAACAACAACAGTACTCCACTGATTGCAAAGAAGAAGAAGGAAAAAGAAAAGCTATCAACTTTAGGATTTTCTTCTTCCGCAGAGAAAAAGAAAACTAAAGGTACCCTTTTTAGAGTTAATCTTTTTTTCAGCGGCGGTGTAATTGACAAGGAAACAAAAACGACTTCCGGCCCAGTTTAGCTATTTTCGGTGCTAATTTAGAAACATCACGAGTCTTTATTACAATGCATTACGCCTGTTCAATTTTTTTTTTTTTTTTTNACACCCGTTTACCAGAACCCAGAACAAAAAAAAAATCTCATCTTTCATTCAGGCCAACTAAGAAATCAAATTTATGGCAAGAAAATCTGATTTTGCATGTAAATTTGGAGAATAATAAATAAAAAAGTAAAATTGGCCCGTTGAAGAACACAGGCTTAGAAATATCAAGAAAACAAACAATTCATCGGCACTGACTGTGAACGCAGGAAACCCAAAAAGAATATGTAGAAGAAAATAAAATCAATAGAACAACGCGCCACGGCAACAGTGCAGCAAAAGGAAAAGAAAAGAGAGAGAAACCTTTAGACTTTTTATTTTTTCCTTCCCCGTATCTTAAAGCTGATTATTCTGCCAAAAAAACGAGATAGACACTCAGAATTCAAATGCACAACTCAATGAAGAGAAAAAAGGGCAGTGGGTATTTTGGGGTGGTGCGGTGGTCGTAAGCTACTTTTGCGAGACATGGAGAGGGAATATTAATGAAAGGCAACGGTAAAGTTATATATATTAAATAAAAAAAAAATTGGATTGAAGCTAGCCTTTGCATTTATGCCCCCAAGTAAGCTTCAAATAACTAGTGTGCACAACTTTCGGTTAACCCAGCCGAACCGATCAAAATCGAAAATTTGGTTTGGACTAAAAAAATCAATTTTTGGTTCGATTAAAAATTCAGAATTTATGGAAAAGATTAATTATTTATTGTGATTAACAAATAACCGACCGAATCGACTACTGGAATTTCGATTAAAAACCAAACTGAACCATAAATTTCGGTTCAATTTCAGTTCTTATAATGGATAAACCAAATTTTTGGCTTGCTGAAAATTCAGTCGGTTCAGTTCGGTTTCGATCGGATGAGCAGCCCTAGGAATAACGATATGGACACTTTAGTAAACTAATAAAGTGCACATGTGATGCATGTGGTGGTGATCAATGTTTTTGGCCGATTAAGGTTAGTAAAATAAATAAATTAATTTATTAAACATATCATTGTTGGAGCAAAATAAAATGTAGAAGAAATGAACTTCTTATGTCAAAAATAATATAATGATGTTTTGAGTTGCCTTTGTCGTCAAATTGTTGGAACTATGGCGGTTGATATCCAGTAGGAATCTTCAAGTTATCCATACGAGCTTGAAATAAATCAAGGTTGACTTAGAGCCTCTTTGGAATTTGCCATTGATAGTTTCCCTAATGAATTCTTTGATTTGGCCAACCGATATGAGCTCATCTGGTTAATCTTGGAATTCAGGCGAAGACTTCTCATTTCAGCTTGTTTCTCTTTGTCACCAAATGTTTAACATTGTCTGCCCAGATGCGCCTAGTTTTAACTTTGTCAAAAAAATTTCAACAACAATTTTGGAGTCTTGCTCTTGAACGTGTTTCATTGGTTCCTTCATTATTTTGGCCATGATTGCAAGTTATTCTTCAATAGTTGAAGCATGCATCATTATAACTTAACTTCGAGAAACGTGTTGATGAAGAAAAAAGATGAGAGGCAGGGATTGTCCCACTAGACATGCCAAAAATTTGTAACAAATTTTATGAAGAAACATAAGACTTTTGTGCAACTTAATTTTATTTAGCTCAAACTATATTGTAGGTATAATCTCTATATGTAATCCTCTGATTTCTTATCTTTGTAGACTTGAATTTGATCTTCGAATTTGGATTGGACAATTAGATCTCTTTTGGTCTTGATCTTAAATTTCTCTAATATTTATTTGGGGTTGATTAACTTATTCTCGTATTAAATATTAGAACTTGATTTGATTGAATGTAACTTCTTGACAGTCTTTCTTCTTTGATCCTTCTTGGTGACAGACTTGGACTTGAACGTTGATCTTCAACTTGAATGTCTTGAATCTTCCAGAACACATTTGAATCTTGAAGAGAATTATTGAGAACTCTTGAATTTGACACATTTGATTATGAGGTGTGATTTTTGGCTTTGAGGGAGCATTTGTTTATAGGTGTAGGATATAAAGTCTATCTTAGAGAAAGAGACATCAATTTGATTGGTCTTCATTATTTTATATAATCTTTTTCTTTATCTTATGATTTTTTCTTATCCTAATATTTAACTTGGTTGACAACAAATGATTATTATATTAATTATCTTATTTATATTGAATTTATGTCAAAAAATAAATAAAGACATCAATTAATAAAATATTAAAACTATCTATAATTCCGTAACTCAATTAAAAACACTGATGACGAGGTTGTGCATGTTTGAGTATTTTTGTTTATTGTTTCATCATCGAGCCAAACATTTTGGTGAACAAGTGATTAAGCTTGCGGAACTCAGAATATGATCATCATGTGAACATATCCCAACTCTTTTAGCAGTTAATTCAGTCCTAATCGAGTGAAAAGCAACAGTGATTTAAATCAGCAGTGAGAAGCTCGCCATGCAAAAATAAGTTGGCCATGCAAAAATTAAATAAATAAATAAATAAACTCTTTGATCTTGAATCAATAAAATCAAATTAATTCTTGAAGAAAACCGAGATGTTGGCGAAAATGACAGTAGTTTCCGTAGCTAGTTTAGTAGATAAGCGATTATAATATTAGAACTAAATGAAGATCATCCATTCTTTACTTATAACAAATGAAGTAACTGTGTTAGAATGTACATAATCAATTTTTAAGGTTCGCAAGCTTTTTTGGCATAAAAATCATTTTGATTCACTGTGAAATTGTTCAGCTAATAAATTAAATATGATAGACTGATTTGTTTGGGGTTTAGTTTTGACACTTTAAATTTACAGTTGTGTAATGCCTGATCAAGCAACAAAGCAATTGCCAACCAATTACTTGACTATATTGATGTTCAACCTTAAAAATTTTCTTAAAATGCACTGAAGCCTTCTTAAGATGGCATAAAACATTTCAAATATGCTAGCTGCCTTCATGAATACTAACTGCTGCTGCAATATAAATGCAAATAAATGAGTTCATATAAATTTCAGTAAATCCTCAAGGTGGTTAACTAAAGTATTATTTTTTTTATTTTTATTTTTTTTTGAAAACTTATCTCCTCAAGTCATGATTACATAAAAACAATGCAACGTCACGATTATTAATGAGTGATATGAGTCTAACCACCAATTTATTAACTAAAATACATGATCTCCATACATAACATCACTCAACAGCTCACACTCAATTACCTCCACATTTGATGGTTAAAATAGCCAAATTTCAAGCCGCATCACTGAGTTTTTCCATTTTTTTTTCTAAGTCCAGAGGCCCTTTTTCTGCAGCTGTTGTTACCATTGTAAGTCTTACGTTCGACTAATGCTTCTTAGACTTTTTCCTTCTTTTCGAATCTTGGGTTTTCAATGGAATGTATATGTGCACATTTTTTTCTTGGTATGTGTATGTATATATATATATATATATTATGGATTATAGTATTGAATAAATTTATTTTTTAGTCTAGGAAGGATAAATTAACTAGCTAGCTACACTGGCGATCTTGATTGTTGTAGATCCTAAGTGCAAAATAAACTGTATGGACTTATATATATTTTATTCCGATCAAGATTTTATTTTATTCGCAAGTTTTTTCTTCCTTTATACTGATGCTCATGCTATAACCGTGACATCTTGCTAACAATCTTCCTTCAATTGCCATTTTAAATTCTCAGTTGAGTTTTATATATCAAATAAAAACACATGATTAATTTAATTGTCTTTCAGAATAAGATTAAATCTAAAATAACTGATGTGGTCTCTGCATGAAATATAGTTTGCGTGAGGCTAACGAACATCAAATGATATATATTTTTAATGATAACATGTCTTTGGCCTTAAAATTTTGCTGGTGTAGTAGTAAACATCAGTAACAAGAATCTGTACAATAATAGTTTTAACGAGTTTCATGCATTTGTCATTAATTAAGACCTGGTGATAATTAAGCGAAGAAATAAAAGTTATACTCAAGTAACAACTAAATTGACAACCAACTGATGGACTACTTTGGAAATAAATTTCAACAATATTTAGACTTAAAGCTCATCAAAATTTTTGTAATTTCATCAAATGTTTGTAATTTCATTAGAGCTTATTATAATTACATGGAAAAACACGTTGAAATACAACATCTCACAACATCTCTCTCTCTCTCTCTCTCTCTCTCTCTCTCTCTCTCTCCGTGTGTGTGTGTTGGTGTGTTTAAGGCCAATTCTCCGTTTGAAAGGTAAGGATGGATAGAAACAATAAGAAAGGCAAAAAAACTCTTGATCTTACCTTAAAGTTGGGGCCATCAAATCAAGAGGATGATGAGGCTTCTGAAGAAAATCCTGATTTGATGTACAATGGATACTATGTTGTACATCATCCAAATATCATGGTAAGTATATAAAATGTTCTATATATTTTTCTGACAGATATATATATTTATATCAGGAACAAAGAGAAGTCTAGTGGTTAATTAAGATCACTTTCGCAGTCGACTTTTTATTACGTGTTACATTTCATCAGCACATACGACAAGATANAAAAAAAAAAAAAAAATGGATTATAAAATATATTTCTTAAATATAAATAGCACATTCTCGAACGAATTGAAACTAGCACATTGTTCGTTGAAAGGCATGCATATGTAATTAAGTAGTAACTCACTCAACTATACGCTTTTATTTCTTTTCTTTTTTTCTTTTCTGTGAAGGGCTATGGCTTCCAAATGGGTTTCGAACCGGCATTTGTAGGGCAGGCTAGCAATAACTTTGTGTACCAAGGCCATTATGCTGCTCAAAACTATTCTGCAAGCAACAATAACCCTGGAAAGTATTGTAGAGTTTGTGGTCGTACAAGGACTCCATTATGGAGGAAAGGACCAACTGGTCATCAAGTAAGTTTCTTATTTTTCCCTTCTTTTTTTTTTTTATTTCCATTATTTTTTCTCTTATATATGCTCATTTCACTTTAATGGGACTTAGCTTTTGCTTTCAACTTATTTCTTCGTGATCCATATAAAATTATACAAATTCGTGAATATTCGTCGTTTGGTATATATTTCAAGGAATTTGTAGTTGCTATAGAAAAATATTTCATTACCTTTAGTAATTCTGTTAACTAAACAACAATTTAATTGGGATAGATTTTTTAAAAGCTGCATATAAAACTAGATTGAATCTTACTTATTAATATACTGGAGCGTAGTTAAACCTAAATAGTCTTGTCCTTTGAATGCTTATTTCTCACTCAATACACAAAATTATATTGTGCATCTCAAATGTAACTCTTAGAGTAGAAACCTAAAGTTGGTGAGTTGGCTACATTATTAATCATTCCATTGTTTGGTTCAGATTTGTTTTCTATATATATATTTGTCAATGTATTTTACAATTTTAGTTGTCAACTTAGGTTGACATCTGAAATAGTCAGTTTATGCTGTAGAACTTTCATATAGTCCACTCAGTTACAGTTTACAATATAATAGATTTTAAACCAGTCCAATTTCTGTAATTATGTAGATACTTTGTTGTTTAGTTATATGTTTTATCATATAGATTTCCTAATTATTTGAAAAATTTTATTATCCTTTCACAGACTCTCTGTAACGCCTGTGGCATCAAGCACATGAGAGCTAAGAAAAAGGAATGAGGACAACAAATATAAGTTGGTCTCATTGTTTGCTTGTTTGAGGAGATTAATGTCAAGTGACGAATAAAGTTTCATGACTTTTATTTGCTTGTGTTGGTTTCATGGATTTTTTGAACTATGTTGATTTGCTTTAATGTTGTGTGTTCATTTTATGGATTGGAATAATATTTGTTTTCTGCAAGACAATACTTTCTGTTGGAACTTGGTTAAACTTATTTGAATGAATATTTTTAAAATTTTTATGTTGAGAATTTTTAAAATTTGGGACCTACATCACCCTTGTTTCATTTGAATCAAATCTAATCTTCATTTTAATCTGTTTAATCACACGAAAAAATCTGGAAAAAAAGTATTAATAATCATAAATTTTAGGGAATAAATACACTTTGCCTACCTAACTATCCAGAAATTTACACTTTACCTACAAAACTTTTTTTTTACACTTTACCTACCTAACTTCGATTTTTTGTACACTTTGCTATTTTCGGTCACCGCCGGCCACACGTGGCAGTAGGAAACAAAATCCACATGTTGGTTTATGAGGCCGGCGGTGACCAGAAATGGCAAAGTGTTACAAAAAATCAAAGTTAGGTAGGCAAAGTGTGAAAAAAAAAAAAAGTTTTGTAGGCAAAGTGTAAATTTCTGGATGATTAGGTAGACAAAGTGTAATTTTTCCTAAATTTTAGTACCTCGTGTTTTACTTTTAATTGTGGAGAAAGTTGTTGGAATGCAAATCATAGGGTACTGAAGATGAAATTTATATGGAAGTTATGCATCAACAAAGACAGAACAATAATATAGGTATTGAACTTTTGAAATCTTGTGTTACATTGTGATAAGACCAAGTTGAACTTGTTTGCGAACAAACATTTGGTGTTCATGAATAGCTCGTCTGAGATTTTGGTTTATTAAACAAGTAGAACTGAACCTTTTGTTCATTTATTAAACAAGCACAAGTTCGAACGTAGGTCATCCATCTTGGCTCCGCTCAAGCCACACTTGTAATCAACCCAATTGTTACATATTTATATAATTATTGTTGATTGTTAGATTTTATTTCTAAAAGCTTTTTAATTATTTTTGCATCACGCTCCATTAGTAGAAAAACATTATTAGGATATATATTTAGAAGCACAAAATAAACCTCTACTTGATTGATCCAAGCCAGGCTAATTTCAGGATTGGGTAATAAACCTTAATTAGGTTTGATTGGATTTTTTATCCATGAATTTTGGATGGTATTGTGCCTGCTCAGTATGAATGAGATGAAACGAGGTATTTCGGAATATGTTAAAGGAACGAAAAAAGAAAATTTGAGTATTATGGCAAATTTTATACAACAGTCATTTTATTTTGTGTTTGTTTTTACTGTTACTATTGAAAGCAATACGGTAATACCAGTTAAGATTGGCTTCAACATTTGATATATGCTGCACCCAATGAGTTGAGCAACCAGTATGTAATATTAAAAAAAATAAATCTCAACATCCAGTTTGCTGGTGATTGGCATACCTTTTCTTATAAAGATTGTATTGCAAAATGAGAACCCAAAATAACAAGTTCCAAAATGTCATTAGGTTCACAAACTTTTGGTCTAAACAGGATTTCACAGGCCTTGAAAGTGACTTCACTCAAATTCTTCCTAAAAAACCAACTTATACAGGTACTCTTTTCCCCCGATAACGATCGAACAACTGCAAAGAAACACATTGAAGTGTAAGAGATAACACACCGTGACAGGATATTACATAAATGTTCGTAGAAATTAAAAAATCTATGAGTAACATTTGATTCAAAAATATAAACTAAACATCTATGAGTAACACAACACAGTGGACTCCCCAGGCAAGCTTTGGATGCAAATCAATACTTTGAACTAATTATAAGTTCCCGAGTTTTTTAAGATCCTCTGCTAAAATTTATTAAATTTGAAAGAAAATTTACAGCAGTTCTGGAGTCAAAAATTTAATATAATGTGGAAAGCAAACAGTGCTAATACAATGTGTTTCTGCTTAGTCGTCATTCAGTAGAAGTCATCAGGCCTTGCAGAAACCTTTATCTTCTAGTTGTTCCTTATATTTATTCATTTTTATTCTGGACTGATTATGGTGGTACTCAATTGAACAACAGCTAGTTGGCTCGAGCAAGGCATCCAACATACAAACACACAAATGTGGCAACATTCTAGTTTATTTCAAATTCCTGCCAAAAATTTGAGAAATGAAACTGAAAGAAAAGTGTAACTGCTTGGCACTACAGCTATGTCCTCCACTATAACTATATGCAAATTGTTTTAAAAGAATTAGCAAAAAGGGCCTACTTAAACCAGATTAATGCATGAAATTACAGCCAGCAGTAACTTCTATAACAAAATGCAGTAAAAACAGCCGATTGACATTGGATATGATGCAAGGATTACATCCAGCAATAACTTCTGAAATTACAAGTCAAATAGATTTGGCTATGAATTATGAAATGACAACTAGCATTAACTTCTGGGATGAATTCCAACTGAACAAATTAAAGGCTTCTACGTGGCAATTCAAGGTTCTATCTATATAATAATTCCAGTCAAAACTTCCAGAGGTGGCAACTCAAGGTTCTATACAGGTTAACAATTTCAGTTGAAACTTCTGGAGGTGTTACTTTATGATGTTAATTATCAATCCATCAAACAATTAAATTAAATATTAAACTCAAAACCCATGCCAATGAAACCAAGTAGAGGCACACAGAGAAATCTCACATAGAAAATAGAATATGTTATAATGCGGTAAAATATCATTGCTCCATACATTGCAAATGACAAAATGAGACATCAATGCAAACATACCGATCGGACAAAAGGTTGCTGGAAGAGCCAACCAATAATAGGAATCTTCTGGAGGAAGACAGCCAGTGTCGGCCAGAAACCACTGTAATTTTAAACGAAATAGTAAATTTTCTCTACCAAAATATAAAGATGTAAAGTAAAATAAAGTCGAGCCAATAAAGATGGCACACACCTGAACAACACTACGAATCCGTAAGCCTCAACAATCATTCCTATTATGGGCCACCCGATAATGACTAAGAAAAAGCCAACACCAAATGATATAGTCCCCTGCATTGATATATGAAAAACATTAAAAAAACTGCATCACGACAAAAAACATCGAAAATAGAGCAAATCAAGAGGAATATCATAAGTGCGAGAAACCTTAAAATTCGAGCGTTTCATAAAGAACTGCATGGATGACTTAAGGCCAATGGTTAACATCACCCCTGCCAAGAAGAGTATCTGTTTTGAATAAAATGAGACAATCTTAGGAAGATGAGCGATGTGAAGTATTCAATATGAAACATCTGATTGACTGCTTTAATAATATACATACGTTTCCCATTGCCAGCAGTCCCTTATCGAAGAAAAAGATGACCCCCAAAATTGAAAAGAAAACTCCAAACCCCGTCAAACCAAGGCCAATTTCTGTTACAACAACCAGAAAGAAATAATTTGACCAAGAATGATAAAAACTCTTTATATGTAAGATAAACTATTTCAACTTATCATACTGCAATTAGAGTGTAAAAATTACAATGGAGATTGAGACAAAATGTAAATTCCACCACACATAAGCTGTCAAAATATCTATAGATAACTCAGATTTTATCATTAAAAATAACCTGAGAAATATAATCACACCTATGAGCTTGTGCAACAACAGCATAAATAACTTATTACAGAGACTCCACTTCAAATGTTTTCATGCACAATTTGTCAAAAGCAAGAAATAAATTATATATAATCAGCTGAATAAATTTGGGCATCATAGTTGGGGATAGCTTACTTTTTCGATCGTTCATCTCGAAGGAGACCATTTTTGCCGATTTCAGGTTCAACAAACTGCTACGTTTTCCCAGGTAGGCTCAAACTGCAGCCCTACACCCAGCAAATAATCACGCAAGTCTGAGGATGGGCTATTGTGGTTCGGCCTCCCGGCGCGGCTGTTCGCAGTGGTCGAGGTGGCTGTCAGGCGTTGCGAATTCCGGTCTGCTGGTGCTCGCGACTCACGATCAGGTGCTGTTCGCGGCGGACTCGGCGCACAGTTGTGGGTTGTGGCTGGACGACGCCGGCGAGTTCAGGTGCTGTAATTTACGCCGGCGGTGAGAGTTGATCCGAGGAGAATTTTTTGAGGGTTTGCTCTCGAGAGATGAGGGCCGAAAGAGAGTATTTCCGATCTGAAATCTTTGGGTGAGAGACCTTTTTCGTGAAAAAAATAAAATGAAAGGAATATGAGGAATAATTGGCTTGACAAAGGGGTCAACAAAGGAAATATGAATGGCACCACTTACGGGATTTATGACCGTTCAAACATGGGGATGGGCTAAAAATCGACTTCAAAGGATCGAGTCCAATGTTCGAAAGGAAATAATGAAATTCGAATGATTCGACAAGCGATTTAAAATAAAAGCGAGCAAGTGCATAAATATAAAATAGATACAAGTAATCAATAAATAAAAACAGGCGAATAAATAAATAAAAGCGAGCCAATAAATAAAAAAAATACTAAAATTCACAAGAAGCAGACGAGGCACTACAATAACCATAGTAATTATAATTTATTGCAGAGAAAATCAACCACAACAGATCTATCTGTTAAATTGCTTTACATTTCCTCGATTTCATGCATCACATACGCAAGTGCTGTTTCACACCTAAGCACAGAGAGATCAAATAGAAAAACCTAACCGTGATTGGAAGTGATGAGCAGAGATTGATGGTAGGTTGAGGATTTCTGAGAGCATGATTGGATATAAAAAGTTTTTGTTTTGATTGGATTTTTAGTTTGGGTTAGTTAAATTTAAAAAAGTTGGAATGGTTAGTTGTTAGTGGGTATAATAAAATAATATTTAAAATAAAATGATTAAAATTAAATTGATGTAAAAGTAGGAGAGAGAAAATGTGATGTGATGGTTAGTTAAAATTATGTGAGTTGATGAATAGTGAATTACAGTTGATGTTGTGTGTAAGAATAATTCATTGATATTATTTAATTATATTGATAATATTGATGATAGTGGGGTTGAGTTAAAGTTGAGTAAAAAAAATGGTTGAGTTAAAAATGATTGGATTTTTTGGATTGGATTTATATCCAATCATGCTTTGAAGAGTTTCAACGACTGGAGAGACAAAATTGCACAACTGAAAAAGAAACTCCCCTTCAGAAAGGGAATTTTTTCACCAAACTCAAAACAGCTGAAATTAGGCCGATACAAAACGGACCTTTTGTTTAACAGGTTCGATGGGCTTCGAAATTTTTTGGTCATACAATAACAAATAGATTGACTACTCTCCCAACTCATGACTCAATACTAATAGTTTTGATATTTTTTTCTTTCCATTAAGCATATCATATGTGGTCTTCTTTTTAACAAATTGTCAATTTTTATGTTTTCACATATTTACCATACATTCAATTTATTAAAATTAGAAAAAATGGTATGCAAAAGTGTAAAAAGAGAATAATTGTAGTTGAATTATTAGTAGAAAAAGAAATAAAAATATTATTTTAATATAATTGTGTGAGTTCATGTTAAAAATGATGCACTAATCATATATATACACTAAATATTACAAATTTTGGGGGATAATGGCCCCCCAGATCCGCCTCTAGATGGGAGTTTTCTATTTCATATTTAATTTTTTATGCCCAGTATAATGCAGTTGAAAAGAGTTGTCAATGAACGAACCATTGGTTGGTCACCTCTACTTGATTGATCCAAGCAAGGCTGATTTCAGGATCGGGTAACAAACCTTAATTGGGCAAGCTGGAAAAAATTTGGAGCCTCCAGCATATAACTTGCAGTTTGAATGAATTGAGACAATAAATTCACAATGAAGTCAGAACACGAACCAAATTGTAGGATCTCGAGCAGGTCTACCGGACAGACGGTTCTAGTTCCAAGTTTTCGAGGCCCTATAACCAGCTGTTTTCGANACTACAACACACCTAAAACATCAAAAAACACAGCAAAAACACAAACAAATTGACCACACAAAGAAAAAATCACAACACAGCAGATCTGCGCAACTCCCCTTGTCCATGCGCGAAATGGCACCTCTCCCCAAACGTACACGTCCCCTTGCTGAAATTCTCACAAATCTTCGTCTTGTAGTTGTTCCCAAACCCACCACCGCCACCCGCACCACGGCCAGCAGCAGCTCCACCCCTAATATTAACAATCAGTTCCTGCACCATTCGGCTCGCCTCACTCATCTGGTCAAAGCTTCCCTCCAGCTCAATATTCCTCAGGTTCGGGTCCGTCTCGTGGTCCCTCACCGCCAGCTTGGCACCTGTCACCCGGCATATCTGCTTTGAGTTCACCCCACCTTTCCCGATCACTGCCCCTGCCAGCGAAGCATCGATGCTGATCTTGGCAGTGACCAAAGCCCCAAAGCCCGCCGGTGGGTTTGGCGGACCAGGGTCGGCCCAATTGTTGCCTCCGCCGCCAAATCTTCTTCGGGGTTCGTCATGTGGCTGTTGTGGGGCTGATGCAGCAGGTTTCCCGAGCTCCCACTCGCCGTGCGCAAAATGGCACTGGTCACCGAATTTGCAGCCCTCGGCTGTCTTGAACTTGTTACACAGGCGAGTCTTTATGAAAGGGGCAGGCCCAGGCCCAGGCCCAGGCCCAAACCCAGGCCCAAGCACAGGCCCATCTTGGAAAGGGGCAGGAGGGGGAGGCATAGGGTTACGAGGTGCAGAAGTGAGAGCTGGGTTGTTGCCGAGTATTTGGGTGACGGCCTTGATGCCACCAGGGACATAATGGAGAAAGTGGCAACCGTCACCAAACGGGCAACCGGAAGCACTGCATGACAAGTGGATGGATTGGGTCAGTTAATTATTAGAAATTCGTTTCTTGAGTTCAAAACTTCAGAGTATCTCCAATGCTTAAATGCTTCAAGTCTAATTCTATTTATTGTAAGGCATGAAATATAGTTAGCGTTATTTGAAGTATATTTGGACCACATCGAAATATACCGCATCGAGTCTATTTTTTACCATGCAATATCAATTAGACCAGTAATCCATTTTAGTTGCACCGGAGAACAACTTTTTGTTCAAACAATACAATTCTAGGCAATTTTAGAACAGGCCCTATCCGTTGTAGATGTCTCAGGAAACAAAGGGATTAAATGGGCAAGAATTTACTTTGCAGGTGCATAGAGTAATTTCTTATGTAGAGATTTATTCAAAA